GAGGAACAATAGTGCTACTCTAGACATTATGTGGAGTTAAAAATGCTATAAATGTGTTATGGGATGATTGAACTGGAATAAGTAAAAGTAAATAGGGCTTCTCCTGTGGTGTGGTCCGAGTTTTGCCTGTTACCAGTTTAAACTGCCCTGGTTGAAATTAAAGGCTTCCCTTGATAAATTTAGACCAGGATTTTTCTCTAACTTCAGTAGTAGGATTTGTAGATGTCAGGTCCTGTATGTTGTATGTTCGATGACATTAATACATGCCCAGTTTCACTGCAGGTATTATTTACAATTCTGACTTAATTTCCCCTAATGTAGCTAGTGTAATTTTCTCAAAGTGTAGGTTCTTAATATTGAAAAGGTGGAATAAGATAATCCTAGAAGGAGTTCATAATGATTTGGAGTTATTTGCCTTGTTTAATATTTCAAAAAGTAGTAAGTCCTACAACAATATGTGACATTCCTACCTAGACTGTATCAGTCTTAGAGGTTTGGAGGTGAGAGGTTGTAAAGCAGGCTTCAGAAGGGTTGCTGACAAGATTTTTTTAAGAGATGGTTCATACAACTAAAGGTGTGACCTGAGGTTGCATCAGCTGTCAGAAGTGAAATGATTTTTTTTTCCCTTATTGGCACTTAGGCTGGGATTTTGGATTCCCTAAGGCAATGATTGTCTTTCAGTATTTAAAACAATTACCAACCTTAGTAGCCTGTGCTCATTCTTCTTTTTGTTGCTTATTTAATGTCTATTAGAAAGATCTTTTCCAGACAGAGCAGTGCTTGACCCTTGTGGCTGCCTGTCACTTTTATACTTTTTTTTCCTGAAAGGGCAAAATTATACTACATTTTAGCCAACGCTGCATTTTTGGGAGTGCTAAATGGTGAGAATCACTGGGCAAACACCGTTGTCTTTGGTTGTTTAAAATGTTCTTGACTCATCCTTTTCTTGAAATTATTAAAGTCCAGCTGGGTAGGTGACAGGGCTGAACTTGTAAAGTGGAGATCTGCATGGCAGATTGGAGGGGGGAAAAAAAATCTCTGTTGTGTGTAAGGATTCTACTCCTATTTAGATTTGGAGCAAAGAAGAAACTCTTGTCCAGTGAGATGCTGGTAGAGCAACTGCCTGATGTTGGTTCTACCTCATCTGGGGTGCCTGGACCAGAAATCCATTCCAGGTGATAAGCTTTTCAACAGAGGTTGTGCAGAGATTAAAATCATGCTCTAGGATGAAAACACTGCAAAATCTGTTTGAATAATCAGCTTACTCACAGACTGAGTTGCCTAAATCTTTTTGCAAGTTTTTTAGAGAAGTTTGGTGTTTCATTCCAGTTGTCTTTAAATTGTTCATCGACATGGTTTTGTAACAGTTAACTTCAGGTGATTTTGCTGGTGAAACACATAGGCTGTGATCACAGGGCATTATCCCTCCATTTTTAAAGGCAAGAAACCCAAGGATTAAGGAGATACTCGACAAAATCTTTCAAAGCAGGGAGAAAAATACAGCTAAAGAGGTATTTCTGTTTTATAATATGCCTTAGCATTGCACTTTTGGAAAAGACCAAGAGAGCTATGCCAGTAGTGAATCTAGGCTGATGCTTGAGATAAAGTGAAGTGGTTAAAGGGTGAAAAATAAATCATTCTTGCTTTTGTTCTTAATACAAGGTATTGATAATGTATTGGTGAGGGGGGTTTACTTGCTCTGATTAAATGACATGATTCTTACTTTCTCCCCAAATACTTGATATTCTCCCCCCCCACAGGCTAAGCTGAAATTACTATTTGTTCCTTAAAATGCCTGGAAGTATATATTTAGGTTTCTCATTCCAAGGTATATATTTGAAGTCTCTTTCTTGCTCCAAATACTTATGGTAGAGCCATTATCTTCCTTACTAGTGAGGGCTGTGTTGTGCTAGGAACAGTTTCAGGAGTGCAAGTTGTCTCATTTTGTCACTTGTAGTAACTATGCTAACACAAATTTTCATAAGAATAAGGCTTCTGAAGTACGGTAAATTACAGAATCCATCACTGAATATTGAAATGTTTCCTAAGCGTACTTAATAGTGGATAAAGGTGCAAATACTTACAAAGCTAACTCACTTTACTGAGGAATAAATAGGGACAAACAGAAGAGCAAGTTATTCTCCTTCCATGAGGTGTAGGAAGCTCCCAGGAAACTGAAAAA